AGACGAATATTTATATGAATGACTCAACTTATTTTAGCTACTGATTTAAAACATCGACAAATCCACTTACTTTAAGAAGTCCCCTGCTTTCTGCACAAAATATGTATTCTTATTATAACCTTAAGTTGTGAAAATAGGGCTGTTACTTACAGACGTAAGGCTTTCAATGTAGGCTGAGAGGAGTGAGGTTAAGTGCATAAATAGGCTGTAACTGATCGTGAAGCAGTTCACTTTTGGGTTCACTTTAAATATTCCACATTCTTTTTCCCTGGTAAGTGTATTGCACCCTACTTGAGTCTCTATAATCTGACTTTATTTCTTTTAGGCTATAAGGGAAATCAGCACAGGAAATCACATTCTGTAAATTACGTTGGCTGTAAATGGTCCTTTAATTAGTTCAATGAATTCACGAGTTAAATGATGAAATAGTTTTATGTGTATTACACTTGATTTTCAGGTCAAATTACTGAGTTTGATGAGATTTTCCATAATGAAGCTTAATAATGTTAAAATGGGATTCATTTTATATTTACTATAATATTTTAGATGTATTGTATGAGAGTAGCATAGAATAATGCCTGGGGGTATTGGAAAATATGCGGCAAACCGATGTTCCATGGCTTAATTACCGAAATGTCTAAATGAGAAGAAAGTGCGCTTACTAAAGGTAGGCATACTTTGCAAATAGTGCTGTCAAAAATGAACAAATGGCTCGCAATGCCTATGAATGACGAAATGCAGATCTAATTACTTCGAGTTGTCCTTAAAAAAGAATGTTCTCATAATTATTAGCTCTAGAATAAGATAATGCCTTTAAATGGAACGTGGCAGAAAATGGGTCAAGTTGATCTTCCTACTTGCTAAAACAAAAGATTTGAAAATATTATTGGTTTAAGTTAGTTTTTAATAATCATAACTTCATTCTTATTGCAGTATGAAATTGTGCTATGAAAAGTAAGGCTAAATTAACTCGTGATTTCATATACCAAATAAAAGAAACTGTTTTTAAAGGAAAATCCATTCTCGTTCTAAGTTTAAAGTGCACCTGTTGTATTTTCAGAAGGATTGAATAACTATAAATAAGTTTAGATTTAACTAAAACGATACATTTTTATATTGGCATGCACAAGTTAGCAGAAATCTTTAGTCTTGATCTAAATGTCATTAGGACTACTAATTTTAGAAATTATATTTTCAAGTTATCAGACACAATGGAGTTTTCAAAAATGAATTAACTTAACGGTAGCAATAAATTAAAAGTTCCTGATTCAAATGCTTTATTTCACAAACCCTCAAGTAGGTAAATTAGCATAATTAATATGGCATTTTTAAAAATAAGATGGAAGATGCTTAAGTTCTTTAGAAATTCAAGCTAAATATTCTTAACTCTTGATAAATTATTGCAATATTTTATTTTGTTTATTTGAAATATACCTAGTCTAATGGATTGTGAATTAGTTTAGTCTATTATTCATGCTGCAGTTACCGAATGTTACTGATGTAAGTTATGTAAACCTTTTATTCTTATGCATACCCTGTATGGTGCCTAATAAGGAAGTTACTATAAAATCTTTTAATATTTGAAAAGTAATAATAGTCTAGCTGAGATTGCGTCAGTACTACTCATATCATTGTGAGAAAATTCAGCTTCCAGTGCTTCATAACCTTAAATAAATAGGGTGAATACATCTTATGCAATTATTTTACCCTAGACATAATAAGGAAATTTCAAAAAGCCTAATTTCTGCGACCATACAAGAGGCCACAACATCTTGGTCTTCATATCTTCAAGCCTAATTTTATTGATTTATAGGAAATACAAATATTTATTGTTAAACATACAATTATTTGAAGGATTAAATACCAGCCAAATTGCCCAGAAACCATAAAAAAGCATCAAAATATGCAAAGCCATGGCTATTTAACTTAAAATTTTAATTTTATTTTAAAATACCTGTCTGTAATTTATTGCGTTGGACAAAAATCGCTATTTCAGTCTTAAAGTAAGCTCCTAGCCTAAGAATTTTTATAGGAATATGAGTAGCCTTTATTTGAATATTATGTAAGTTTCCTGTTGGAACCTTCTTTAAGATAAGAAGAGATAGGCATTAGCCCGCCATTTCTAATGGTTTAATTTCCTTTATCTCCTAATATACTTATGCATCTTCCAAATTTATTATTTGTCAATAAATATTTTTTTAAATACGAGTGCTACGTAAAATATTTTGTTGACCTTGTATTATCTAAATCAGTTTGCATAAGTGGTTGTTATATTTTGTGTGAATTTAGATTAATCTTAAATTCAAGAACAGAGTTTATTAGTACAGATTGCATTACATTTCTAAAGTCGATAAATAGGTAAATTTAAAGAACGAGGAAATTTTGGTAGTCAAAATATGAACAATGTTCTTGGTGCGTATTATTAGTATAGTCTGTAACATGCTGTGCCATTAGTTCATAAAGGTCTAGCTGTTAAAAAAGGACTTAATGCCCAATTTTATGGGAGGGTCTTGGTGATCATGAGCTGCATGATGTGTACTGAATCTTTAAATACACTATAGTTAAGCAACTAAATAAAAAGAAAGCACGCAGAAAATTATTTAATTACTTTAAGGCCTAAAGATCTAATTATATTATTATTTAGTTTATTAGGTTTTGTGGTGAAATAGCTGCTATGTCTATATTCAGTCGCTTACCAAAATCCTCCGAACAAAAGGAGTCCTGCAGCATGGGTCGGCCACAGGATCGGCATTTCGGAGTATATTGCCAGGGAACTTGGTTGTATCGAAGTGCTACCTTTTCATCAGTTTCTTTGTTTCCTCTTCCCGAAACCTTGTCATATTTATTGACAAGTGACCATTTCTTCTCTTGCTTCGAATTGTACATATGTTTCGATGGTTGGATTTTATTTGACATTCGATTTAAGCTTATATCTGGCTGTCTATACGACATCAAAACAGCTGGTCCGGAGGCAAGACTAACATCGCGAGCCAAAGATACCGGCCGTGAAGCAAGGTTCGAGAGGCCAGCATTTCTATTGATGTTATCCTTTAGATTTCTAGAAGTATACTCTTCCATTTGGCTACTAGTGGTAAGGTCAGTAGAGTTGGTCCAGCGCAGATCAGGCTTTGTGATCGCCTCAGAGCTCCAGGAAAGAAATTCGACTGATCTATCAGATTCGAATTCAGATTTCGAGTTCACGTCGGCTTTCAGTGTATGGTCTATCGGTGTTGGTGACCAGGCCCAACGTATAGGCAAACTATCTCCTTGCTCGCCTTTAATGAATCGGTCAGCATGACGGGACACAGAATCGGCCCTCGTAGTTGACTGGACCGCCGAGTAGTCTGTAGGCTCCGTTGACCAGGGGACATTGGCTCCCTTGGCTATAGGAGATGTCATCATTCGGTCAGATCGTAAAGGAGAACTCCCGAAGAACTCCGGTCTACTGATCGGGTGTGCCTGCGATGCTTCTGTTAAGGAATGCAGACTGGATGCAGCTCTATTCAGATGGCCACGGGGTATGTATATTCCAGATGATCGCTGGCGCGCTACAAAGGGCAAAATTCTTTTAAATGACTCAGTCGATTTCGCAGTAAGCCACGGCTTATCGATACTTTCATCTGTCTCTGGGATGTAGGCATTTCTATCGAAAGCTACAGCGTTTTCATGCCACATTCGGCTTGGATTGTGCGTCATAGTTACGTCTCCCTTGACCTCCTTTGCTTCTTTCCATGCTTGTTTAAGCGCGCTAAAGGACCCACTTGGTCGTTGAGATTCACTCCTTCGATCAAAAGGTGCTCTTGTAAATCCGAAAGGTTGGTTCGAAAAGAAGAAATTAGGAGAGTGAAGGAATGAAGATTCAGAGTAAAAAGTCGGCTCCTTTTTAATTTCCTGACTAGTGGGAATTGTCTGTTCCGATCCCGCTGACCGATTCGACGAATTTCTAGTTGACAATTGGCTATAATCTATCAATAAATTTGGAGGCGTCCTTTGATGAATGTTGGGAGTCTTTAAAGCTTTTGATCCTCCTCTCCAGGCAGCAACCTGAGCCCATCCCATCTGATGCTGTTCAATACCAGGAGCACGCGTCTGCACCGATCCCAGACAATCTACCAGCAACCAAGCGAGCGAAGGAAGAAGTAAACCGCCGAAAAAGATTCGAGAGATAGTGTTCACTTGCGACCGCTTCCACGACAGTCCGACCTGACGCAAGGATTGCTGTCTGTGTGCCAGATTCCAGGAGGATGGTTGAGGCTGGCAGCAGGCGGTCGAGAATGATTCAAGGCCTGCAAATGTAAGCATTTCCTCGAACGAAGGACTCTCTCTCTCTCCGATACGCAAGTTAGTACCTCGTTTTGCTTATCATTTTAATGTCCCTTTATCCAAGACGTAACTTTTTTCAGGCTGATCTCTAGTTTGGAAGCCAGTTCATCCGTTATGAGGACTTCAATTTGGGAGGATAAAAATCAGGTTATGGTGGATATTGAAGCACAAATTGACCCCGGAAGATTTCCTTTCAGAACATGAGTTCTAGGAAGGGAAATAGACATTCAACTATCGCATTTTACCACCCTTGACGTGCCCGGAATACTTTTCTGATGAGAAAAAAACCTCGATTCCGACAAATTTTGCGTATCTATGCGCCTTTTCTATAAAATAGGAGAGCAGAATGGAGGAAGAGACCAAACTTCTGAGCCGAGCGCTGTTTGCGGAGAAAATAAGCTGAAGGCTAAGAAGGGTGCGGCTCGTGGCTGGACAAGGAGAAAGCCCGAGAAAGGTAGATACAGATAGACGAAATTGGCAAATGCAGCAGCGTTTCCCAAGGCATGTGCCAGTAGATGGGCAGACAGCCAACAGTAACTATCGCATGTGGCCACATTCTAACATGTGGGCTAGCATTAAGAGATGTGCTAGTACATACATTGAATACATGCACTGAATTTAAGCAACGCTAGTGCACACAGATTGGAGAGAAGCATGAATACGCGCATGGAGAGTTTGGCACGGCTAAGGACTCTGGATCTATATACAAAAATATATACATGTATTACTCTTGTTTGCTAAGCATGCACGTGCCATTTTATTTTAAATTAACTATTAAAGACATTTATTCTCATGCTTCTCGTAACTAACCCATAGGCTTGGCATTGTCGTATACTTTCTTTTCCCACCTACTATACAATTAAATGGCTATAAGTGAAATGGGTTTTGCCTGCACTTGAATGCAAATCGTGTAAGTTAATGAACCATCATTATTCATAAATTATGTTCACTCTATTTCCTTTAAGGTGGTGAAGGACTGGTAATTGAATTTTCCCACAATGCTATGAGTAGAGCCAACGTTTTAATATAAATAACCTATACCTCTTATTAGTTTTTCCAACGATTTCTTCAAAATACGCTTCGTGCAAGTTTAATTCTGATCTATAACTAAGAGCCCATTTGAGCAAAGTTACTTTAACATAGCAATAACTTATTGGCCTGCATTTCTAGGCTATTCTTGAGGTTAGCCAGAGTTTGCAAAGATTTTGCTTATTTTCTAAGCATAATCCGAATAAACTAGGAAGCAGAAAGATCAGCAGAAAGGACACACTCGTATCCTTGATCGAAATTGAACCAGGGCAAGATTGCTTCCAAGGAAGGGATATGCGAATGTAGCCAAACCCATGAATTAGCAAAAAAATATTTTGGGCCTGGTCCATAAATGAAGAAAGAAAAGAATAATCGGGGTCTTCATAGGAAGCTTCCATATTGGATGGCAGAACAAATCTAGAGAGGTAATATAGTAAAGGATGCTCATTTCTCAGTTATTTCACATTACTTTTACTGAATGGTGGTGGTGGTCAATGAATAAAATACTTGGTAGTGAATTTTAGCAACCCAACAGACTTATTGAGCGGATACAGGGAAAGGCAGCATATTAATTTTGTCTAAGCGCTAAGGCAATATCAGTAAGCTTGAAAGTCAGGATTTTAGAGCACTGATCGGTGGAGCTACAGTATATTGGATATCAAATAGTCAGGTCAGATCAGGGAAATAACGCCTTGAGTAAAACGAATATGTTGGCTGGAGCAGGGCCTGGTCAGCCAACAAAGAGGATAAGAAATGGAAGGCTAAAGATATAAGGGAGATTCGAATCGTAGGTGAATAAATTAATTTGAAGACTAAAAGGGCCAAGAATGAACAAAAATTCGTTGTGCACAGCGAGAAGAAGAAGGAAACCAGGTGGATATGTAATTAGGTCTCATTTATCCGGCTCAAAACGGCAAATATTTGAGGCAGGACGAAAAAACAAATTTCAAGTTATGATAGATAGGAAGCGAGATATGATGCTTGAGGACAGGCTGATATACCAGAAAAATATACGAGGGATAACCCAATTGTTCGGCAAAATTCGATAAAGGTTTGGAACTCAGTTATGTGTAACGATTTTCAGATTGGTGCCAAGAACGAGACATCCTGGTCTCTGGA